CCAGTCCTGTGTAAACTACGGCACGCAAAGTTTTTTTAAATTAATTTTTTTTTTTAATATCGTGAGATAGCGGAGCGCAAGAAAACGACGTAGTCTGAAGCTGGTAACTAGACGATCTTGCTCGTCTCAGTCTGCTCAATCTTAGTGATGTCAGTGCCCTAAAAGATGTTATAATGGACTATTTCACATCCAGAGATGAAGGATCGGATGATGAAGTTACTAAAGAGGAGGAGTCCGGTGACAGTCTGTTTGTTATATGCACAGGTGCGCTGCGCTCGCTTTTCTAAATGTAAACTACAAGGTACACTATTCGTGCTATCTAAACATACCAGGGGTGATTAAAAGTTCAGAGCCTATGCCCATCATGATAAACAACAGAAAACTGTCCTCTTCAGGGTAACGTTAGGCTGTTTGTGTAATGATGCAGTATAGCGCTCCTGACAGACAGCGGTCGTTAAGTAGAAGTGAAAGTGAAACCCGTCTCACTTTAAACCGTTTTTCTCAAAATTCCATCCCGGAAAATCATAGCTATCAGCCAACTTCAGATAGCCAGTTTTGGAAAAGGCTTGAACACAGCTTTCATATGGTATCAAAACCTATAAAAGGAACATTTCACCATGTGTTGGGTTTTCCTAGATCGCATCACACACACACACACACACACACATATATATATATATATATATGCAACATTTCTTTACAAAAACAAAAATCATAGTTCAGAGTTCTTAGTCTGAAAAACCCATTAACACTCTCTTTATTTACTGGGTTTATTGTAGAGAAACCAGCACCCAAGAAACGACGGAAAGTGTTCTGCCAGATCACCCAGCACCTGCTGGAGAACCATGAGATGTGGAAGAAGGTCATTGCAGAAGAGTCCCAAAGCCAGACAGAAGGGGAGGAGCCCACATGCCTCACTAACACCCCTGAGCCAATCCTAGCCATCGATGAGGAGGAGGAGGAGCCGGGGAGCAAGGAGGAGCCTGCAGACAACCAGGAGGAGGAGACAACGGAGGAGGCGGAGAGTCCTGTACCTGACGAGACACATGAAACAGAGGAAACAGATGGTGAGACTGTAGAGGAAGCGGCCGAGACTGCGAAGCGAGACACGGTGACTGTAGAAGACGATGCGGAGCTAATGGGAAAACGAGAGGAAGACGAGAAAGAGGATCCGGAATGAATGACTTGCCCTTTTTAGACGTTGTCTAAAAGCTTTTTATCAGCAAGCGAGACTTCTAAGAAATGGTTGCCAGCACATCACTTAGACACAACACTGTAGATGCTTGGGGAACATGTGCCTAAAGGAAACAGGGTGGGGTGGGGTGGTTCGGGATGAAGGGTTTAAGTAACAATGAGCAGGTGGTGAACTATTGAGGTTTGATGCTAAAATAGAGTTAAACAGGGGGTTTCCTATATTTTCTAGACTTACGTTGGTCAGTTTTGCAAATTCTTCTGGCGAAACCCTCTCCAGCTGCACCTTAACCCCCAAAACTACGACAGGGGTCCCAGTGATCTGCGGCGACACGTTTTGCAGGCTCAACAAGCATTTCCAAGGAGCTTAGCGTCAAAGTCGGGAACGAGAAACCAATCCACCGTGACTCTCGTCGGTTCGCGTATCCCATCATCGGCAGCGGACGAAAGCAAACGCTCCAGAAACTGCATGCGTTTGTGAAAATGCTACAAAAAGATACACTATGTGTTTGCGTGTCTGTCCTGCCATTGCGCTTTGTTTTTCCTTTCCAGAGCATCACTATAGCAAACGCTTGCTCCACTGTCTCATTTCTGAAGGCGTCGAGCCGAATGCTTGTCATTCTCTTCCCTCACCTTTTTCCCTCGGCATTCCATGAACTGAGATTTTACATTTCTCAGGATCAGACTGTTTTCGAATAACTGTCATTGGTTTTTACAGACTTTCTTGCAACTTTATAATCTTTTGGATCTTGATTTGTGGACAAAGGGTATCTTTAGTTGTTTTTTAAACTGTAACTTCTTCAAAATGCCAATGGCCTTTTAGCCCAATCGTTGTTTTACCAGGTGATTTGATATATATACACATGCATACGGCGTGCAATAGTACATCACGTCATCCCTAGTCATCAGTGTACCGTCCAAAACTACAGATGCTCTTATTCTCCCCCCTTCTGTTCTTGCATTTAATTGAGTTTTGAGAGCCAAGTAAACTGCTCTAGCAAGTTTGGCTGAAGGTACAAACTGGGATGACGGGAAGGCCTCAGGCTCCCGCAGTCGCATGTTTTCCCTCCGAACAAGGCTGTGGTTATGCTTCACAGTCGTCTCACGCAGCCGCCGCTGTGGTCATGCAGGACGAGCTCCTCAGCCCAAGGGATGAAACGACGAACGCCGTCCCTCTCACATGAGACCATGTGCCGCACATGAGATACGCGCACCGGTCGACACGGCTGTCCGCGCTCGCCTTTGATGTGCAGAAAGAGGCAGATTGCTCTCAACGGCGAGATGAAACACTTCTGCGGGCTTCATCGCCTCGGGTCCGATGTCTAATTAAAAACGCCTAGGTAGGACGCGGCGGTCATGTGCTCATCTTTGAAACGTCCCCTTCAATCGCAATGCAGTGTAAGCCTTAATATTATCAGGCAATGTGGTGCAATGAAGTCCGGCGAATTATTTAAGCAATACCGACCCAATGTGTACAGCAGATTGGTAGCATTTCCAGTTGCACTTTCTTTTGGTTGCTGTGTAAATCTCACACAGCTCAAGTGTGCGTGTGCCAAATATGACTTCAAATCCATTCTCCCCAAAGTATGAAACACCATCAGGAGCATGTAAAGGCCGTGTGTGCTTGTGAGTACATGTGGCGATGCAGTATGAGTGCTTTTTATTTGTACATGGCCCCAATTTTAGAGGGTATATTATATTTCTGCATTAGGCCGTAGATTTGTAACCCCAGGCCAGAGATATTAACCCTTTGGTGCATGAGTTATTAAATCACAAATTAAAATAGTCTTAATGTTTTTAATACCTTTTTTAAAACAAAAATATATTAATTCCCAGTCTAATAACGCATTTTGAGAGCGTTATAGTCCACTGCAATAAGAGATAGTAGTTGTTATGTGGTGCATCACTTTTGTTTGCCATTTTGAATTTAGGTTGCCATAAAGCAGAAACTTTAAAAAGGATTGTCACAATGAATTATGGATAAGGGTTAAAAGTCAACACCTTAAAAATGACTGTCTAGTGTAGTGGACATCTTGCATCAAATTATACAGGTGTATTCGCTGTGTATTTCCCAAAATAAAATGAACTTATCGTAATAATAAAATCCCCCTAAATAAACCATCATACCCCAAGCCAGAGATATTAACCCTTTGGTGCATGAATTATTAAATCACAAATAAAACTATAATGTTTTTATTACTTTTTAAAAACAAACATATATTAATTCCTAGTCTTTTTTTTTTAAATAATGCATTTGAGAGTGTTACTGAGCATTGCAATAAAAGGTAGTGATTGTTATGTGGTGCATCATTTTTGTTTGCCATTTTGAATTTATGTTGCCATAATAAAACATAAAAAAAGGATTGTCACAATGAATTATGGATAAGGGTTATCGCCTTAAAAATTGCTTTTAAAGATCTGTCCACTGTAGTGGACATCATGCATCAAAGTGTTAAATTAGTTGTTTTCGCTGTATATTTCCCAAAATAATATCATAACCTACAATCAAATCTTGAGGAATAAAATACATTATTTCCCAATTGCACTAAGAAATATGTGACATTATGGAAGAATCTATTATGCAATATAGCTCCGCCCCTTTCATCTTACTTTTGCTCTGTTTGAGAAATTTATGTCATTACCTTACTGCGAGTTTTTGACGATCAAAGGTCATTGATATTGATGTCATCAAAGATGCCCAGATTTGCTTCCACCCAGACAGTATTCAGAGAGACTCAACAAAAACTGTGGAATTAGCCAGCGAATCCTACACGTTTGATGCGCTCGCTCGTGCGTGCACTGCATGATTGCGCGTGTTGGCATGGCAATCATGTCCTCCACCGTGCCTCCCATCAGTGGGTTTTCAGCTCTGATCTGCGTTCGGTGGCTCTGATTCCAGATTCTCGAGTCAGAATTGGCAGCACAAATCTTCAGAAACTGTTTGAATGGGTTCATAATGGCATTTTCACTAAATTCATGTTTTGTTTTGTTTTACACGTAGCAGATGCCCTTAGGAGTGAAATAAATTAGAGTCTGTACAGTTTGGCTAAAAAACCTGTGCAGGTATTCCAGAAATGCACGATAACTTGCTAGTTTGTGTGTAAAGTGTAGTCTGATAAGCTTGGTTCATCATTCCAGATCTTTTTGATTGTCAGTATAGGCGGTTTGACTGGCATGTCAGGTTCACCGGATGTCGACACGAGACTTAAAGAGGTTACACGTCACATAAGAGGCTGATCCTTTTATATTTTTCCTTTGTATTTCCTGTTCAACACTCATTCCTTCATCTTCAGCTGTACGCATCTCATAACCGTGTCCACTCGTTTTGTTCACCTTGAGAACCAAACAAGCTTTACACCTCTCTGAGAAAGAGAAATGAGACTTGTACTTTTTTTTTTATATAGTCGGCACCTCACTGACAAAATAATTATTTTTCTTCTCACTTGTATCTTGCACTTAACACATGTAGCAATACCTATAGAAAGGGAAACTGTGTAAATCACCAGTATTCGTAAAGTGAAATATTCATTTTATCGCTGATTGTTGTTCCATTTTGTACAAAATGATATTGTGTACAGGTTAAAAATGAAACAAAACAAAAACAAAGCCAAAAAAAGGGACAAAAAGATGAAGACGACAACAGAAGTCTTTTAGATAAACATTATTTATTTTTACTGTTTTGTAATTTAGACACTATACTGTAGCTCCTCTATTGCCAGACTTACTGGAAGTGCCTCTTGGTATAATGTAACATACAGAAAATATATATTGAGATTATTAGAACCTGTCACAAGCTGAACATTGTGGATGTTGTAATGTGAATACAGTTTAATAATACGAGTGAAATACCTGTGGTATTGAATGACTCTGTGTTCTTAATTGTTTCTTTCTTGCTTCATTGATTTTCACCCCTCATTCAAGACTAAATAATCTGAAGGTTTTCAACTAAACAAGCTCAATACAAAGGGTAAAATGTCAAATATTCTTACAATTGAGTAGGTGTTTTTGTCTTGAAAATGGCTCCTGTCTCAATCGAAGTCAAGGTAAAATCCCATGCACACGCGTTATGCCAGGTCAAAATGCTCTTATATTAAAGCTAGAGTTCACTCAAAAATGAAAATTTGCTGAAAATGTACTCATCCTCAGGCCATCCAAGACAAGTTTGTTTCTTCATTAGAACAGATTTTGAGAAACGTAGCATTCCATCTCTTGCTCTCCAATGGATCCTCTGCAGTGAATGGGTGCCGTCAGAATGAGAGTCCAAACAGCTGATAAAAACATCACAATAATCCACAAGTAATTCACACCACTCCAGTCCATCAGTTAATGTGTTGTGAAGTGAAAAGCTGCGTGTTTGTAAGAAACAAATCCATCGACCTCAAACCGTCGCTTCTTGCCAAAATACAAGTCCATAATCCATAATAA